ACTTCTATATTTGTGAACGATCCGATACAGATGGGGAATGGCTGGGTGGATTTGGCATGCTGCCACTGACGTTCGAGCGGGCGCTTGTGGAATCCAGCGTCGAGGCGGAATGGCTGGATTTGATGTGGTGTGCTGCCCTGATGTGACTGATGTATGAGCCTGAAAATTGCCAATGTGGCAGCATGTTTCCTTCTTATATGAGCTGCTTATTGTGGAATCGAGCGACGCTGGTGCGGCCTGTGCTTCTCGGTGCCCAAAGACTTTCACTGAGGTTGTGAACATTTGTGAGCTGTGTTTGACCCATAAGCCCTTAGGACAGCTGACGATTGGAATACTCCAAATCCCAGCGTCTACACGCTGTACACGGCAAACACGCTGGTTTCGTGTCTTGGAAGGCTTCCAAATGTAGTATATACCTCAGCGTCCGCAACAAGCCCCGCACTTTGGCCTATCTGCTGCGTGCTTCCTGAACCAGCGTCTACATGGGGTTTAACTCGTTCTGATGTGTAATTTCTTCGCTGATGTGTATTCTCCCAAAAGCAGCGTCTGCCGACATTGATGTGTATTCTCACCAGCTGATTTGAGATAACCCCAACGCTTGTACATGCTGAATCGTATTTGCTTGTGGCATCATGCACTTGGGCTTCACTGATGACTCGTCGCTTCGGATGCTGTTTCGACCTGTCTCTTAGAGTGAACGCTTGAGTGTCTGTGATTCTGTGATGCAAGTGGATGCGCTTATATATATATATATCTTTATATATATCTTCGGCCCTTGCGAGGCATGAGGAGTGCGGCTGACTCCTGATTGACACTACTGATTCAACCTGACTTGGAGTGATATACCTGACTTTGCAAAACGACTTGAGGCATGCCGACACATTGTGTCAAGTGTGTTGTGTGTGTGTGTGTGTTCGCGCGTGGCGCAGTGCAGTGGCGCAGTGCACAGCAGGCCGAACCTCTCGAGCAACATGTTGAAGGCCCGCTGCTCCCTGTAACGTTCACTCTCCTGTCGTTGGTGTGAATTCTGTATTCCAGGTGCAAGGAAATCTCAAGGGCGGACCGACCACAGCCGGGCACCCAGCGGCCCGCAGCTTCTGCCGATATCGGTAGCCTATTAAATAGCAACTCACATGCTGTCCTTGAGAACGTGTGCACTCTCACGCTCGTTCGGCCATAGGGTTGGCCATAGTGGCTCGACCGTTCTAAGTCAGGAAGATTCCATATGTTCCGATGGCTTCGTGGCCTTTGAGTTGGCTTTCCCTGCTCTGGTGGAAATGCGCTGATGCAATTCACGTCAGCAAGACTGAGTCCTACTTTACAGAGTTGGCCGAGCGGCAAACGTCTACTGCATCCTCGTACTTCCAGGAGTTGTCAGCTCATGTGCGGGACATCCATGCAGCAGCTCACGGTTACCATGAATCGCAAGACTGTGTGCCACAGTCGATGCAGAAACATCTGCGGAAGTCATCAACAAAGGACGTCGAGATGAGATTGAGGGAGCGTAAACCCGTGAGTTTTATTCGCATTGGAGACGGTGACGTCTTCTGCGTCAGCGGGGCAGCAGGTTCCAACCTAGAGGGCATCAGCTATTCGGACCACCAGGACCAATGCAAAGATTTGGCCACATCTTTGCAACAGCTTGGCTCGGAGGATGACTCCAACATGTACGTCTTGGTCGGAACCTTCTTCTTGTGCCAGAATAATGTGGGTTCAGATTTCGACAGTTTCCTCCAGACGCACGAAATGCATCGCAACTTCAAGGGATTCATCACTTCGGTATTTTATTTAGATCTCACTAGCAGAGAGAGTCCAGCAGGGAGTGGCAACTATGGCAGTCCGCCAAACCCCGTTGTTCCATCAACATTTCCATCCTTGCTCGGTCGAAAAGTGGTGGTGATCGGGCCGCCCCATCTGCGCAAACTCTCGAAGACTCTGAACACCGCCAGCTTCCTTGAAGCTTCCAACGCGGCAGACCACGTGGATGACTTGGTCAGGCAGATGAAACACGAGAGCTCCAAGTGGCCGCAGGATAATGTTGTCTTTCTTGTATCCGGAGGCTGGCGGGTGGTCCAAACATGATGCTAAGATTCACCAAAATTATGAGGATTTCACGAGGGTGCAAAAGGGGGTCGGCTCTACAAGGATTTGCAGAGATGTTTCTTCAGCTAAGGGGTACTGCTGGCATTTTCGGGAGTGCTTTTCTTCGCAGGCTTTGGTGGTCGACTGGCCATCCTAAAGGCCTTCAAAGACCTTGGGCAGAAAGACAGCTTCATCGACACGGGGGCTAGCCTGGACGGCTTTGCTGGTGAAGAGAGCCGTAGTTTCAACCAACGGGGACGCCTGTGCAAAATATTACCGCAATTCATGGCTCCAGGAATCTGCAGATGCAATGGCAATGACTGCAGCGCAGCGTGAGCAGCCAGATCAACAAAAAGGGTGAACGATCTATTGAGCGGCACATGTGTGAAGCATTTGTCTTGTCAACTGAAAGTTACAGCTAGCGAGCATGAGCATCTGCGGCAGTTCTTTGCAACAGTATCAGAAGTGGCACGGAAGATATTTATAAGGTCGGCAGCTCTACGACTCTGCCTGGCAGGGGGACTTTGATGGGGCGTTTGACGCCCTGGAGGCCCATGCAGAGCAGTTGCTTCACAAGAGGTTCGCCTTCGTCCCGATGCTTCCTTCAGGCAGGTGCAGACCCTTATGCAAGGTACGGGGTACGGAAGATCACCGCCAGCCGCACAGAGGGTGCATTTTGTGAGCGCAATGCCTCGAAGAATTCTGAAGCCGAGACCTTGCACGTGGCTGCAAGAACTGGCAACAGGCAGATCATGGAGATGTGCAAGTCTTAGCTCAGCGACACTCCGTGAATGAGGGTTTAATTGGGAGCTTGCAAGGTTACTGAGATGGGAGAAGGCGCCAAAGCCGCAGCTCGATGTGCAGAACAAGGCAGCCGAAGCGTATCCGTGGTCGGCACTTGTCTGAGCCTTCACGCAGCATCTGTACAAGGACGGCGAGACTCCACTCTTTGGAGCTGTCCTGGAAGGCCATGTCGGAACGACCCAGGCGGCTTGACGTGTGATGCAGGATGCGTGAAGATTCGTGAAGCGGAATGCAACATTCTGACATCTGCTCCGAAACTTGGCTCAGGGGGTGACTGTCTGAGTTGCCTGTCGATTACCTGTAGATCGTGCCTTCGCACGATGGAGTCCGTGCAGCAGGAGCAGACCTCATCCAGTCCGCAATGGGTGCTGCGAAACACTTTCATAGAAGTCGTTGATGATGCTTCTGATTCAGATGCCTTCTCAAGCGGAGTGATGCGTGCGCACTCCGACTCCGTTCTTTATGTTGGCTATGCGCGCCGCCACGCGGCTGAGCCGTCAGATCGGGAGGACAACGATGAGAAGGCATCGCAAGAGTCTCCGAATTCCTCCGGGGAGTCTATGGAATCCGAACTTGACAGTTGGAGTGATGCGGAAACGAGCCCGGACTTCACCGAAGGCGAAAGGTCTTTGCCACTGCCCTGCTATCATCACATCGAGGATTCTCCCAGTGGAAGGAATTCGCCCCGAGCAGGGCAGGACTTCCACCACGTCGCAAGAACGCCAAGTCCAAGGTGCCAGGGATGGGCAAAAACACCTAGAAGCAATTTCAGAATAATCGTGTTCAAGCATTCAAGCATATTAACACTATCTTTTTCGAAGCGCCCGTCATTAAGATATACTGCGTGGTCAAACACGATGAAACGTTTCAGGAGATGTGACATGTCCTGGGACTGGGAGGATTTGCTAGCAACCCGTGGGGTGTAATCGTGTTTAAGCGCCTATGTGTTTAAACACGTTTAAGCGATTCAAGAGACGTGAATTGTTTAAGAGACTGCGTAAGGTGCTGGGGGCCCTGTGTAGTAGCCCGCGAGTTTCAAATATGTTGAAACACCGTTTGTTCCAACACACTTCCTTCTTTGAACCTTGCAGGAGACTTGTAGTGTTGGTGGTAGGGCTAGTTTGGTCCTGGGAGGTTCTGGCAGGCAGTAAGTAGGTGAGTAGGTCAGGGCGAAATGCCGGGAAACGGAGGGCAGGATATCTGCAGTGAACATGAGTAGGAGAAGTGACAACAGCCTTCTGAAGCTATGCTGTCAGCCAGATTCTTAGTTTCAGGGCCATCACGAAGCCGCACTGTCAGAAAGGACGTTTGTTGCAGTTGACGGGCTTTAAGAAGCTTGAACGTATGGAAGGCTTGAACCTGTTAAGCACATGGTTCCGAAAACGGGGACATGTTTAAGCATTTGCTGTTTTGAGGTGGGCTGGTTTTGGACCGTTTAGGCACGTGCCCTCGCCCCTGCGAGGCGCATGGATTGGTCCAGCACCAGCTGCGGAGCGACACATCCGAAGCAGGGAGGTCGCCCCGGTCCCATGCCGGGTCTTCTACCTCCAACCCCCAGCCACGCTCCAGACAGGGGTGTCTCGGCAGACGAGCTGCAGAGGCTGATGGCGGAGGTGGCCAGGTTGGAGCAGGAGAACGAAATTCTTCGCCAGATGGCACAAGAGCCGGGAGTGAGCCAAGGCACTGCACAAGCTGCAAACCCCTCCCAGCAAGAGACCGCTACAAGTTGGACGGCAGTTTTGATGCCTGCCGGCTTGGTACCGGGCTCGGGCAGCAGTTCCCAGATGCAGGACTCCGCTGAGACCTGGAGAAACGCAGATCTGATGGTTCCCAGCAAGGCGCCCCGGCGACGGCATGCACGCAGCCGGAGGAGCAACGTGGTTTCGGAGGCAGAACTTACTCATCCAAGAGGCCAAGGCAAGGCGAAGAGCGCCGAGTGTGAAAAACCCATGGAAGAGTGGACGACAGTGATGCTTCGAAATCTGCCGCAGCTTGGTTCTTCTGGTTGGCCCTTAGGACTTTGACTTTTTGGGTTTCTATATGAAGTATAATATTTGGGCTAAAAATTTGAACTTTTAGAAGGGGTTCAGAAGTCAGCCAAGGAATAACTACAATCGCACCATGATTCTTGCGCTGCTCGACAAAGAGGGCTTTGAAGGAAAGTACAACTTCCTGTACTTGCCGATCGACTTTCGGACGCGGGCTTGCATGGGCTATGCCTTCGTGAACTTGGTGGATCCTACGTATGTCCCGGACTTCTGGGCCAAATTCAGCGGCTACTCCAACTGGGTGGTACGGAGCAAGAAGCTTTGCGGAGTGAGCTGGAGCGAACCACATCAAGGGCTTGAGTCTCATGTGGAGCGTTACCGCAACAGCCCCATCATGCACGAGAGTGTGCCGGATGACTACAGGCCAATCGTTCTTCAGAACGGCGTCCGAGTGGCCTTCCCAGAGCCGTCGAAGTCTTCGCGACCCCCTCGCAATCGTCACCATGCAAGCATCCAAGTGGAAGGCAAGGCGCCGGGCTCGAGGCAGAGGCGTCAAACGAGCGCAGATGCTCCAAGACAGCGTTCCGGACGGGTTGGGAACCCACGTCCGGGCCCAAACAGGTAAACTCGGAGGTGACTCGCACAAAAATCTCGCACTGATTTTCGGTTTTGCCTTTTGCAGGCACCCACTTCGAGACCTCGACCTCGATTCGGGTGCCTGTTTACCCCTGTTTTACCCCAGGATTTACCCAAAGTTTTACCCAGTGTTACTCTGCTCGCGCTCGACCTTGTCGTCCGCGAAGCCGTGTTTGGCCGGCTTGTACAGCATCTTGCCCGCACAACACATGCTGCGAGCTAAAAAGCCCAGCTGCTCATTGCTCCTAAGTAGAGAGGGAACAATGCTGGCGCGTACTTGGCGCCCTCGCAACATGCACGTTTAGTTTGCGGGAGTGAAAAATGAAAAAGTGCGACAGCTCTTTTCAAATGCCCGTTGAGTGTTTGAGCCGTTTCAGCATCGCGAGGCGGAATCCTAAACTCTTGACATCCCTCAGGCGCTCGTGGACGCGAAGGCAGATGTCAACATCAAAGACAACGAAGGCGTCCCCGCAGTTTGCCGTTACTTAAGGCTTCAAGTTCCGGCACCGGAGTTGGAAGCAAGATCCAAGCAGGTCGAACAGTGCTGTCCATCGCTCAGCAACGCGAGCGGCAGGCAAGCTTGAACAGAATAGATGACGTCAGCAGGAATTCACACTGAGATCTGTTTATGATCCTGTCCTGGTGTGAGGCTTGTCACTTTCCGAATCGCGCTGATGCACAGGTTAGGTTCAATCTCTGATTCGCTTTGCAGGACTTCATCGACTTTCTCATTGCAAGCGGTGCAATCGGTTGAGGAGAAAAAGACGTGCTCCGGGCCTGCTGAAGCCCTTGTGCCGACTTTCACAGCCGTGGCAACAGCAAAATCCCTGGACTTCAGGAAGCATGTTGTCTTCGGAGAAGTCTTCAGCGGGTTGGACTTGCGAGGATCTAAGTGAGACGGGCTGTGTCCTACAAACAGCTCTTGCGAGTAAATTCTGCTTGAGATTGGATGAGCTGGAGAAGCTCGAGACGAACGAGGAATGCAGGCATGGCGTTGCAGAGAAACTCGTCGAATGTATCGACTGGCGGATGCGGGGGAGGCCCTTGGTGGATTGCATCGTCGTGGACTGTGGCGCAGATCAGCGTCGCATCACGGAAGGCACTGTGCCCTCAGCCACGAACGCTAGAAACGCTGGAACCTGGAGGCTAGCCGCCCAGCCCAGTCGAGTGCCCAAAGATGGTCTTGCAAGGTTGAAAAGCATTTGCACCGAGTGCCATGCGTGATACGCACGCAGTCCTGGGTCAGCATCCATGCCTGGCATTAATCTTCGTGTCCAGTGACTCTAGTGTCTGTCGTGCGTTGAGGAGTTTGGCATTGCTGAATGTTGGTCTGTCAGGGTAAAGGCAGTCAAGCGATGCGAGCTGTGGTGTGTGTGTGTGTGTGACTCATGCACGGATGCTGCGTGACCGGCCCAAACAGGTAGACAACATGCTGTCTAAATTGTCCAGTACAGTGCTTGCAGCGCAACACAAACCAGCGCAGCAGTGACTGCTTTTCCGTTGCACATCTTGTGAAGTGGCAGATCGAACGAGCACCGTGCTGGCCTTCCAAGAGCAGGGAACTGGTATCGCTATGACAGAGGGAGCTGAGCAATATCCTAAATAGCAGGAGTGCCTGGTCGGGGCGCAGAGGATGTGCATTGCCCTGCTATGTCTGCAGAGGCCGCCTTGGCGGCTGCATGATGCTGCATGCATAAGCTCAACGACTGGTACTTGTAGTGTTTCGGGGCAGTCGTGCGATAGAGCCACTGTCGACGCATTCCGGGACATGATGTGCCGCATTTTCGGCTTTGCAGCTTGGCTTGAGCGTCAACGTCTGTATCCATGAGCGCTTCCAGGGCTTCATGTCTGTAGCCCCCGTTTGATTTCAACGAAGAGAACAAGTTTCCACAAGTTTGTAGCGGAAGTCGCGATGGCGGATCCGGAGCGAGAATGGGCCCGGGCCGTAAATTGTGTTGCGAAATATAAAGAATATAAAGACAATGAGGTAGTGGAGTGAATTATCGCCTGAGTTTTGGATCGTCCCAAGCACGGGCACTTGGCTGAGGTCCCGCCTGGGCGAATCGAAGAACTTTATGCAAGGACTGGAGTCATCGCACGCAGGTTTGATCAGGTGAATTGCCACGATGCGATTTTGTTGTGGGTATCCCTGTAGTTTCGGTAATGTGGCAGAAGCATGAGGGCGAACTGTGACACCTGCCATTCCTGCTCAGATTTGCATGGAAATCTTTCACAGATAGCGGGCAGTTGCAACTTGCCGCAGCTGCTTGTGCTTGTGGGAGTTGGTGAACGTCCAAGCTGTGCGGGAGCCGGCAGCCTCACCTGATGGATGGTTTTGCGGTTGTGTGCACTGATGTTGAATTTTCCAGTCGCATTCTGGCTTTTTGTAACTCGTCTTTGAAAATGGAGTGGACAGAGAAGATGACCTCGCTGAGAGTTGCTGGTGGACACTGGGTCACTGGAGACGTCCGCTGTACCTGAAGACGCAAGGCATGGTGTCAAGTGTGCAGTGAGACCTCACGTAATCGTAAGTAGTCTTGGTTCCTCACTGCGCAGCCCCCTCCTCCTCAATACCAAGCAGCCCAGGACCGAGAAGGTGGTTGGGTCCCTGTTACCCCGATCATAGACAGAGAGAGACACAGAGCAACCCGCTTCCAAGCAAGCTCTGGCACCGTAGTTCCCAAGTCTCCAGCTCTGCGGCTTTCGGTTCCACAATCCTCCAGCCCTATGCGCGGCAGAAGGCATAAAACTGCAGCGCGGTACTGCTGCTGGTGGAAAGATCTCTCCTGCGGCTTGCATTTACGAGTACAGCAATGTTGAAAAAGTGCAAAATTTCAAGGAGCCCATAACAGTCAAGGGCCAGTTGCAGCCATGGGGCATTTGGCATCCCGGCCTGGTGACTGTGCAGGACAGCTGGGAATCAGTTTGCAGGCATCAATCGCCCCACAAGTGGGCCCCGGTATGAGGCACACAGCTCTCTCACTCCAGCCACATGGAGATGTGGACTGATGCTGATTGTCCGTCAATCTGTGCGGAGGCAGACTTGGTGAAGGGCGCAGCTCCACTGCAGCCTTCTTCTCAGTAGCAGTAGTCGGATAACGCAGCATGCGGTTACGGGAAAGGGCTAAGCCGCGACGATGCGCGCAGATATTCAACTACTAACGAGTCCTAACAAGCCAAAGCTGTGATTCAACATATTCAACGCCGCCATTTCAGGCAGCAGTGATGCGGTAGAGCGGTAGAGTATGGCGTCATGGAGCATGTTCGCGTCCTCGCCGACGATTTGCGCTCGGTCAATGAGCATCGCAGGATGCCGTCAGATGTCAGCCGTGCTCGGCTCTTCAAAGCCCACTGCCTCTGCCGCCTTCGCGAAACAGTCGAAAGTTCTGCGATTGACTGCGGAGGCTTCTTGGAGGTGCTCCACCGAGCGGAACGTGGTTTGATTGCAGATGCCTCCTGCGGGTTGACGCTTACTCACCAGATAGATCAGGCCTTGGAGCGCTTCTGTACTGATCTTCGGAGGCTTGAGGAAGATGCTCTTGAGCGGGATCGCCGAAGGATGGCTGATTTGCCCTTCCAGAACATAGTTGGCGCAAAAGCTTCTCCTCACAGAAAACTGATCACCGTCCGCATCCGGACCTTCAGCGGGGCAGAGTTTCAAGTCGGATGTGCCTTGGATCCATCGTTGAAAAATCGCGGATGCAGGACCTGTGTGTACCAGCATGATATCTGCGCGTGTGCTAAATTGCTGCTGAAGTTCTGGTGTCGCCGATCTTCTGCCCTCAGGTGGCTTGGACGAGAACCTGATCTGCCTCAAAGAATACATCCATGCAAGCGGTGGCCCACGAGCGCGAGACCAGCAACTGGTGTGGTCGCGTGGCGAACTTGCATGGATTCAAAGCTTGGAAACGCGAGCAAGTGATTCCTTCTCCTTGTTCTACCTGGGTATCACGGAAGCTTCCTGTTCTTGGAAGCCATTTTCAACAGATTTCAATTGCAGTTAGTTGTGCTCGGCAGTTGCACTAACTCCTCCATGCCGCACAAGCACTGCATGGCAAGCTGTGTTACCATACCCCGCTTTCGCGAATGTAGCATCTGTTTTAGACATGTTGAGGATGGGGATTCCGCGACCTTGTACTACGTGCGTTTCTGTCATCAATGCAGAGGCTCTACAGGGGGTTGACAAACACGGCAGCGACGGCAGTAGCCATACATGCATCGTGGGGTGAAGGGTGGACTCGGCTGAAGGGACACCGACGGGGGCCATGCGGACGCCTTCCTTTGAGCTTTGCCACATATTAGGATGCATGGCTTTTTGCGCGTGCCCCTGCTAGGCGCTTGCCGATGCGTGGAATGTCACGGTCGTGGATCGCGTAGCGCCTGCAGCGCCTGTGGACAAGTTCGCCCAAGCTGCCTGCAGTGTGCGGGGCCGTGCTCCGTCTGCACATAGTATCAGGGTGCTTATGTGGTTCATGTCTGTTCTGTGGATGCATGTGATGTTGCACGGCTCGTGTTTTCTCAGGTGCGTCTGTCCGAACTGTCACGGGCAAGCGAGCTTGTGCGGCGGGATGTGCAAAGTGTGCGGAGAATCGAGTGTTGCATGTGATTCGTAGCGTTGGTCTCATGCGCCTTCTCTGAAAGAGAGTGCTGCATGTGTTTGTAGAGTACGCCCATGGCGACTCTGGGTACAGCCATGCTGGGCGTTCAGTTACAGCTGGCGTTCTAGTTATACTGGAGAGAGCCAAGCATTGGTTCAGCTTCAGAATGTGAAAGGGTGTAATTGGTAAAGTTTTTCCAAGAGCTTAGGGCTTTCCAGAAGAAGTTGCAGTGCTTGTCACATATGGCAGCAGCTAGCCGCCGTGTACCATGATCGGCGCACGCTCACAAACTCCTTGTGCTAAGGCTGTACTCGCTCGCAACTCCCAATGGCTGGAAAGTGGGCATTCTTCTAGAGGCACGATGCCTGCGCATGCCGGGTGCGTGCATCGAACCAAGAATCCTCCGTTACCATCAGGAGCTCGGCGTGAGCTACGATGCCCACGTGGTCAACATAGGCGCCGTGTGTTGGCGGCTTTTGAGGCTCGAGTGACCCCTATGCCATGCATTGCCATGCAACGCCTCAAGGAGCTGGACAGCAGTTCAGCTCTGGCTTTGTGGGCCCACAACTTATGGCCATTGCGACGTGGTATCATGAGTTTGTCCAGAGCCGTCCGAGGTGCCAACCCCAATTCCAAGATTCCAGCAGCGAGCTGATGATGCGACGAATGTGGGGGATCGCAAAGCAATTCGAGCGCTTAGGCTTTGATAGATCACAGCGGCCCAGATGGCAAAGCCATAGCTGTTATGGACCGCGGGACTGGCAGCGCTTCCGTGCCTCCTCATCGAAAAAGCTGGTTTGCTCATGTTCTCTTTGGCGCAGGAGGCTGCTGCGATCATGATCTACCTAGTCGAGAAGCAGGGATCCGACTTCTACCCAAAGGATGCGAGGTGATCTCTTAGTTCACGTCCGGAGCCTCGTTCTCTTTCTCTTGTCAGAGGCTTCGCTGCGAGTGCTTGCAGTGGTTGTTCTGGCAAACTGGTGGACAGGGGCAGGGCCGCCAGGGGGCTGCCTGAGGGTTCCCCAGACTCTCATGTGTGCAAGAGAGGCCAATGACTGGGAATTTCGGTCACTTCAAAGTCTATGCACCGCCCAGTGAGGCTCGAAGCTCGGTTAGTTTTCCAATCTCTGACTTCGCAGCTTTTCCATCAGGTGGATGCTCGCAACTACGGTGTTGCCAGATACGGCATGGAGGCACAGCTCCCACCCGGATCAACATCTTCGGAGAGTTGTCGTGCCAAAGGTTCAGAGAATTTGCTCTGTTCTGGCTGTCGCCTCAGCTGTCGCAGGCCCTCTGGCTGTTACACAACTATTGTAGCGTGCTGAGGACCGGCACCTTGCAGGCTACGGAGATTTCACCGGCAACCCGGGTCTGCGATGCCAAGGCACTTACGGCTGTAGCCTTCCAATACAGACCCCCTGTCAACGCGGTGTCCGATGTCGGCACATGGAGGCCCCCGGCAGTACCTCGCCAGAAGCTCAGCCGACACACACCGATACAATGCTTGTCCTGCACGCGTATTCATTCTTCCAGCAATCGAGACCTAGGTTGGTGACAGCTATAGCATCTCCGACATGGCCGAGAGCCAAGGAACACGCGAAACACTGACGAACTCTTGCTGCGCGAGTGCCAGTGTGGAGCTTTGCCTTGTCAAGTCCAAGAAAGGCCTGCTTTCCCTGGGCCTTCATGTTGTGGGGCCGGGTGCTGAAAGTGGTGAGTGGTGATCACATCTGAATCTCCGTACGTAGCATAGTTGAAGACCCGGCGCAAGGCAAGGGTTACAATCGCCCTGGACAGCCAGATGCGAAGGATCGCATCTGTGGATTTTGAGCTGGAAATATCGACAAGCCGTTCCTGTCACACTGCCACACGAAGCAGGACTTTCTGAATGTGCACCAGTATACTCACCTCAAAGCTTGGGTTGCAGCAAGCTAAGTTTGAAGACACTTGGCTGACGGCCTTGCCGTCACATCGTCTTTGTGCTGTGCCCAAGGACCGAATAGCGGAGAGACCAGCGGTGCAGCGTGGCATCCGAGTTTGTGCCAGGGACTAGGACTAAGCTTCTCGAAGGGGATTGTCTGCCTTGACCTCGGTGACCCTTCGCAGGCCGGTTCGCCGAAGCCATGGACGAAGGAGACCGGCACATCCTTTTTGCTCCTTAAGTTGCGAGATGTCTGGCCCTGTTTCAGGAGTCCAGTAAGTCCAGGCTGTAGCACCGGGCGTTGCTTGGAGCAAAAAGGTCTGAGCTGGCAAAGTCAAAGTGCCGAAGAGTCTTGTGCTGAAGTGCAGTTTGCGGCACCTCGAAGAAGCCATGATCCTTTGCACGTGGGTTCTACTTGACTTGGGCAGCTCTGGAGGTAGCCGCCGCTGCACATGCTGAAGAAAAGCAAGAGGCGTCATTCTCATCACGATGTGTTGCGAAGCTTTGCCTCTAAGCTTCGAGCTCGTTTGAAAGAGCGGCGTTGCTGTTCTTTTCAGAAGCTCGAGAGCACAGCCACTCTGGGAGGATGCAGCGGACGAATGCAAAGCTTGGGCCCTCAAGACATTCACAGGTCTGTCGTGGGAAATGAGCGGCTCCAAAATTGTTACTGTGCCAGTCTGTGCTTTTACCGAGGACATAGATGACAATGACGACATCGACTTCGCAGCGTTGACCGAAGTTGTTGCCCAAGCGGATTAGCCCGTGTGATGCGCATGTTCAGCATTGCGCCGCCGAAGGCCCAACACCAAGCTGCCACGTTGACAGGCGCCGCAAACGATCGTCGTCTAAGACCCAAAGACTTGTGACCGGGCCGTGAGAGCTCGGGTAGCTGCTCAGGCGACGGCGATGTCGCAGCCTGAGAGCTGATCCTGCTGTGCCTGACCGCAGAGCGACGTCTTTCCAGGATCGGAAGAAGAGGAGAGCTGGGGCCAGGGAGTCCGCACCTCGAATCTGCTCCTTCACGGTGGTTTGAGCATGTTTCGGATACAGTATCCAGGTCTGCAAAGCGGCGCAAGAGGCAAAAGCGAACCCGCCTCGGAGATGAGACTGTGGCTGACTGTGGGTCTGCTTCTTCTGTTCTCTGCGGATCAGCTGAGGTGAGAACGATCTCATATGCGTCAAGCAAGCTGGCATTGTCCTAGCCCCATGATTTGCTGTTTTTGGGCCGGTTCGGGTGCATGGTTAGCCGGAACTTGTGCGCCTCCGGAGGCACTTCCCTCCCTGAAAGATGTCTTGAAGGGGTCCAGCAAGCCGGCTGTGAGCTTAGCGGAAATCTCCAACCATTCAGACACCACCTTTCGCTTTGCATTGGGACAGGCGATTGTCATCCCGTCACTGAAGGAGGCTCGTCTCAGCATGTGGTTCAGTTTGCTTTGTGTGGTGGATTCCTGAGGCTCTGCGAACAGCAGGAGCCGCCCAGGCGACTGAGGCGACTGTGGCTGAAGGCGCTGAGCCTGCAAAGGCACCGGGCCATGTGAATTGCTCTCTGCTCTGGGCATGTCTGGCAGGCACATGACAAGGACATGCAGGAGCAGAGCGCGCCTACCAGCCAACCCTCTGAGCTTCCTCCAACGACAGATGGAGGCAGGGCTGTGGCCCAGAAGCAAGATTGATCGCTGCCGTGTGGGTGACGTTCATGCTCCCCTTCAATACGACTGCGATGGTGACCCTGCGGCCCTGTAGGTGAGACAGAGAAGTCTCTGGCGCAGAGGAGTGCAGTTTCCTACGAGGCTCGGGCTCCGAAAACGGCAGTTGACGAAGCATCCATGCGTTGAATGCACGTTCGGCTTCACAGCCGGATGAGGACGTCGATGAGCAGCCGGTTCCTGCTGAACCCACGGCTGCCAGCTCGGATGTTGAGCCCTGGCAGAAATGGCAGGTCAATCCTCAAACTTGGTTGTGAAAGTCCGTGTACATCTGCAAGGAAGCAATGCTGGCTCCCATAGATTTGCTGTGGATGCTTTCATCCCATCGCAGTAGTTTCATGCGGGGCCTTGTACGTATATTTAGATCACAGTCGACATGATCGCATCTGACTCTGCACCCTTGCGGTTTGTCAGACTCAAGGCCATCAATCCCAATGCCAAAGACCAAACCTTGAGTCTAAATCCCTTAAACCCCAAAACCCCCCAAACCGCCAAAAAGCGGAAGCCCAAGAGCCCTCAACGCTAAAACTCCCCGAAGCCCCAAACGTTCACCCTACACGGCCCTAAAACTTAAATGGTAAATAGAGGCTGCGCCTAGGTGCACCAGCGTAGTGCTTTTGTTTTGCAGCGGCAATATGCGGTTAGGCAAAAAGAAACAAAAATCAGTTGAAGTAAATTGGTTGGTTTCGCCCATGGGATGGTTTCAGTAAATTGCTTTTGGGGAGGGTTGGACTTTCGTGGGGACGGTTTCGGGGCTGCGGAGAAGGTTTCGGGCTTTCGTGGGGAGGCAAGCAGAGGTTTTGAGGATGCGGGAGGAGTGGGGGGGGGGGGTCCGGACCGTTTTTTGTAGTTAGGGCTACCCGGGCTACCCCTTCCAGGAGGAGAAAGGGCCATTTTGTAGAAAGGGCTACCCTCTTCACGGTGCTTCAAACAAAAAGGTGGACCAGAGCAGGCTCCAGGTCGCAATCTCCCGGGTCGCCAAAGACTCGGAGAGGCGGGCCCGGAACCCCAGGAGAGCTTTGGGTTTCTGACCCAATGCAGATATTCAAGACAGTAAGAACGTAAAGATAGGAATAACAATAATGATGCTAATCTGAATATTATTCATATACATAGTAATATCAAGCACAATGATATTAATATTGGTTAAGGTCACTAGGGTTTGGTTTTAGGGTTGTGGGTTCAGTGGTTCAGGGCTGTTGGTTTGGGTTTTGGGCCGGTTTACAGCGTTGGGTATGAGGTTAGGGTTTGATATACTCTGTAGAGCAGAATAGCGCGAGTACCATGCGTAGCAGCACAACCCTAGAGTAAGAGCCTGCCCGACAGCATCACGAGTATAAAACATGATCAAACCATGAAGTTGAACTTAGAGCAATCGAAACTACGAGTAATTTATTCAGCTTTGGCAACGCTTCGTGCAGCAGTCAAAATAGTCGAACCCACTAGATACAAACTATTGATACTTAAACCCTCGGCAAAGCAATCCGACGAATGAGTAAGTGCAAGACTTTGACAGCAGAGTACTACCGATTCTCTGACTGTCTTCCGGAAAGTTGTAAGAAATTTTCTGGTATCGGTTGATAACGAGCAAGTTAACAAGCATGACATAAAGATGTGGTGTGCCAGGAACCATGATAACGCAGAACAGGTGAGTTTGTTACGTGATTCTGCAACACATAGGAGAGACGTGTGCATCAATACAATCGCAGCATTATGTGTTCATTCGCCAAGACAGAGTGGGCAGTAATCAAGAAGGACGGGCCCAAATGGAAGCAATTGATCAACAATCCACACACACACACACTGACCTGAATCCGCGTTGGCACAAGCACATCGCCACAGCAAGACAGCATGATGCAGGGGCCATCTTCACAGATGCATAGAATCATAGAAGCTTACGTTCAAGCTGCGACACATTGCAAGCGACTACCTTAAACCAGACGAAGGGCTTGGGTTCCAGAGTACTGACAGCAAGCCCGACCAGACTACTTGTTCCATTCGCTTCCAGTTCACGGTTTTTGCATCCGTCCTGTCGTCCTGTGGTAGCCCCAACCCGCACGGTGAGCATGCACGTTGAAGCAACTTCACCATGGAGCTCGCACCGCTAAGGCCCGAGTCGCCAAGGCAGAGATGCGAGTTCAGCTAAGAAAGTCCAGGGCACAGCATCGTCATCACGTGTGACCGAAATCGGCCTATTACAAGACAGTGCAATTCGCCTTTGCATACTCGAAGGCAAATAGGTTGACGTCTGGACGTGAGTCTTGGTCCAGTTTTGCTTGACAGGCAACAAACTCGCGATCGGTGTTCATCACCAACCTGCCATTCAAGGCGCGTCCTTTGAAATAAATCTAGAGTCCTCAACACCTTGCGATGCGTTTGCTCAACTTCCGTGAGGCACAGGAGGAGGAGATTCGGAGCTGGCTGGAAAAAGCCGGTGAGATCAAGGGTCTCCGGCTCAACCGGGACAAGGCCGCAAAGTGCATGGAGTCAAAAGCAGGAAGGGCAAGGACGCAGTGATCTAGTGCACGAAACAGATGTGCGTAGGCAGGAATCAGGATGCTTCTGACTACTGAAACAGCAACAGGGGCTTTATCCACATCCGCCAGCATTTTGACAGTGCATCCTCTTCAGATCGTTGTACTCTTGGGGTTGAATCCTGTCCCCGCTAAGTCTACGATCTCGCGTCAGAAGACACCGAAGGTCACCACGAAAGCGCTGGGCTTTGGACACGTGCAGCCTGGACCTACGTGTTTGCTGCATCGCTACGTCAGCACTGCATGCTACCCTTTGTGTATCCTCACCGTATCACCGGACATCATTAGAAATTAGGGCTCGGTTGTTGCCATGGCTAGTGTGCCGTTCGAGCACGGTGCTCCACATGTAACTTTGTCTGCACTCTACGATGTTATACTGTTCAGGTTCGAGTCCTCACAGGTTGCAGACGCTGCTGTCGAACAGCCCTTGGCCGAGTTGCTCCGAGCACTGGGACTGTTGGTGCCTCGCTGGCTGTCCCATGTGGCGCGACAGGTGTGACAAAGTGGAGCTGCATGGACGCGTGATGCGAGTCGCGCCGGTGGATCCCAACACAAAGCCCGAAGCTTACTCTGGGTCGCGTGGTTCTCGGTTTCGGGAGCCTGTATGAAGATGCAGCTTGCCATAGCCAAGCGGCGTTTTAGGTTTCAGTTTGAGCTCCCGGAGAACATCAAGGACAGAAACATGACACATGTGCTGGTGAACAACTCTCTAGGCTCTAGCCTTCCACATGCGCTCATTCAAGACCATCGTGGGGAGAAGCGGAGCATTACATGCATTCAGTCGACTTCGGTGTTCTGCACCGCAAGCTAGCCGCTTCGACATGAAAGACGACAATTGCACCCAATGGGAATGACCTGGCGGTTTAGTCAAACTGCGGCAATGCTCCGATCTGCTAGCCTTCAGGAGGACCTTCTGGGCCTAATGCGCGAGGCACATACCTCAGAGATGATGCAAGTTGCAAACCCAGGGTCGGGCCACCGGGCCACCGCTGGAGTATTCAGAGATTTGACCACCAAGGCATACGAAGGCAAGAACATCAGCACCATCAAGGACTCCATTCGCATGGGGCAACCATTATGGAGAAGGAACAGGCGCATGCTTCGGCTCTTTGCCGAAGGATGCCTGGCAAAAGCGACATCCAGGGCAAAAGCTGGACACCGCCAAGTCCATGGCTCAATTGAAGCCGTGCTGTTTCTGGGGGAAATTTGAGAGCTGATGGTAGGGAATTAGAGCATGCAGTCGAGGTGGGGTTTCAAGAACTTTTCGTCTTCCCTGAAGACCTTGGAAGGCAGGGAAAACAGCGATCACGATGTGGTGTGGAACGCAGTGATTGCAAGGCGTCACGCTGGAGCACCACTTGGAAAAGACTCTGACGTACTTGGCTTTCTTCGAAGGCTCTCCTGCGCACAAGGCCTACCTCGAGGACTTCGGGTTTTGGATTTCGCATCATGTCTGCTCCGAAACGCGAGCCGTACCAGCACAGGAGAGATCCAAGAGACAAGCAGAGGGCAAAGTGGCCGAAAATCCTGGCGAGGCATCGTGCCGCAGAATGCACACCTACCGGATTGCAAGTTCAGATGCATTTTCCCTCCTTCCTTTCCTATCTTTCCTTGCCCAGCATTTGTTGCTAGTTGTCCGTCTTGAACATTGGGAGTACTTAGCCAGCTCGCCCGAAGCTCTCCGATCCTTCTCTGAACAGAGCATCTATCGCACCCTGAGTTTTTCTCGTCGCTCAAAATTTCGATGGACGGCTCTGCCAGAGCCTCCGAGTCAACCGCTGAACAAAACAAGCAGATGCTTTCTCAATTCCAATGTGGGTCCAGAACCTAAGACAATGCATGAGCTTCGTAGCAACCGCCCGGGCTAGCTAAGGCCAGCTGTAACAGAGAAGCAGGGCACTTGGATCCACAGGCTCAAAAAAAACTCGTTTTGGCATCTCCCCACAATGGCGAGAATGTTGCGGTTGATGTTTTCTTAGTTTGCCGAATCGGAGACGTAGCAACACTTTACAAGCAATCATATCCAGGGCAGGACTGCGAATGCCTCACGCTGCTGAAAATTACTTCGTCAATCCTCGAAAAATGTAAATATCATGAAGCTCAAAGTCTCCGTCTTCGACATTTCACCCGAGTGGGCGGATGACTGCCTGCTCCACTGCCAGGCAAAGCGAGCAGCTGCCGAGGCTGGGTTCAGCTGTATGCCGTGGGATCCAACAACAGCTGTCCATGCGACGTCAATGCGACGGCTGTGAGGCTGATGTGCTGAAGCCCGACAAAAAGCCGAAGGCCCCCAGCAAAGACTTTTCAGAGTTTCTTGTGATGTTCGGTGCATTTGCGTACAGGGCTTGCTACTCAGACCAATCATTGCCGTTATCTGTCCGGAAGGCATACGGTGCTCCCAGACAAAGACCCGCAGCCCTGTTGACGGTGAGCGGATTTCACGACGTGTTTCCCTTTAAAGCTGCTGGCAGTTCCTCTACGTACTTATAGTGCCTCTCTTTCAAGCTTCTCGCAGTTCCTCTAGTTCAGGTTGAGGGAGATTTTGCATTTGCAACCAGGCATCTCAATTTTGTCACGGAGCGGTGCACCCGTTTTGAGTCCATCAACTTCTTTCAGGTTGAGAATGGCTCCAGCCACCTGAAGGCCCCGCCGCTCATGTGCGGTGCAGCAGCTCGTTGTCCGACTCCTAAAAATGCACAGAGCAATCTGCTTGGACTCAGCCAGACAGGTTCAAATTCTGGAAGGCTGAAGGGCATGCTTTCACGAATCCATCGTGGACTCGACTACCTCGCAAACAATACGTAGTTTATCGTGTTTCCGCAAAGCTCGAAAATAACTCGGACGACATAGTGACTGATAGGCGTGTGTAGCACCTCAGGTTCAGACGGCTGCTTATCCCTATAAAGCATATTAAAGCATTGAACCCCATGATCTTAGATGCTTCCTGACATACAAGCGACACATGGGACGTCGAAGACTCCACGCAGCATCCTCAGACGGCACGTGGCCGATTCGAAGGAAGGGCCGGGGCTTTGTTTCCTCTTCTCCGAAGGACGCGCGGATGACTCGAGGAGCCCCGGACCCGTGGAGATCTTCGAGGAAAACATCCGCGCAAGGCGGGGCCTCAGGGACTTCGAGCCCCTATCTAAGCCTCGGACCACGTCGTGCTTCCTGCACGCCTGGAAGTGGTACGGCTTGTGTCCCCTGCAAGACACGAGCCGATGTTCGCATCAGTGGGCAGGGCTTCGAGAAAGGCAACGGCCAAGAAGTTCCGGAGCCCACCAGCTTTGGCGCCTCAGCTCTGGAGCTCTAGGAAGGTCCCTTAGGCACTTGTCTCAGCACAGACTTGCAGAGTTGCGCAGTTTCCTCAAGGAGGCTTGGCTGGATGCCACCTTGGAAACCCAGAAGCTCAGCACGAAAGCTGCTTGTCCAGAGCGGCTCAAGGTCCACCGAGAGGCGAGGACGGGATGTGGGGAGGCTGGGCAGGGATTGAGAAACCAGTTCTGCACGACCTTCGCAGGCTCTGGCCTGGCTGTGTGACCTCCTCCCGACGTATGGCACGGTCCTCTCCAGAGTGTCTTGCCTCAGGGAGCCGGGGGGCAGGGATAAAGGCTCGGGCCTGAAGTCATGAAGCTCGAGGGAAAGTCGAGAACAGATCGGCAAGAGCTTTGACATGCCCGTGCATGGAGAGTGCAACACACCAGCGTTGTTGCACTGGGCCAGAAGGGCATCACTGTGGCCTTGCGGACTGGCATCCTGTCGAAGGGTTTCAGGATTTCTATTCGTTGTCTTCGATCTAAGGTGCTGGACGAGGTCGACGGAGCTTTGCACAGGCTGGAGACATGGCAGGGGGAGCTTCAGAAGATGCATGGCCTGAACCGTCAGCTGCTCAGAAACATCAGCAACGGGATCTGGAAGGGGCTACTGCATGCAGCATCCTCGTAAGCTCGCACGTGCAGACCGGGTAGCATTTTCCGAGGCACGCTCCAGAGTCAGTTGCGATCCCTTCGGGTCCTGCACAAGCTGCAGGTCGAGGAAGCCTGGTAGCTTGGCTGCAGAAAGAAGCAAGTATGAGATCCCTTCGACTTGGAATCGCAAGTGTCGTCCTGCCATTGGCTTTGAAGGTCTGTGACCAAGAGGAGCAGCGAAGCTGAGACCCAGCCTGTAGCTGCACCAATGGCTGACAGCCAGAAGCTGGACAAGGCACGGCTAAAACCCAAAACTCTTAACCCTATGCCGCCCTACGCGCAATTCGGATGCTCAAATCGCTGCAGGATGCTCAAGCCGAAGTCACCAAGCGCAGACATGCGGAACGCAAGTCGCACAAGCTCCAATCCGAGCTTCAGAGCGTCAGGCCACGGGGAGCCAGCAATCTGTGTAAAAGTCATAGGAACTCTAGTATACGTATATCTATGTATGTAGGTCGGTAGGTAGGTAGGGGAGGTAGGTAGGTAAGTAAGTATATAGAGCTCTCACGAACATGTTCACTTCAGAAATGAAACATCTAGCCTGTCCTATGTCAGGCACCAGCTGCAGGACAGAACTGGCTCTGGAAACGTCTGGAACTCGCATTTATCAAGCCTGCACAAGCTACCAGGAGTTGGAAATCAAGGAGGCTGACAAAGTTGCAGCCAAAGATGAAATGAACAGGACGGACTCATCCAGACTGCACGAGGACGTAGCACTGCTGTTATTGCTCTCGTGCACAGGCTTATTGAGCAGAGGGAGCAGATCTCTCGCAAGAATGATGCGCAGTGGACCGAGACAGCCAATTCTGGGACACTGAAAGCAAAGTCAGTTGTCCTCAAGCTTTTTCGAGGTTGCATAAAGAGCGCTCGCAGCTGCAGTCGGACCTACGCAAGTGCGAGCCACAAAGGTTGCTCTCCTTTAGGTCGCGGACTTTGCAGCAAATGCCGAGGTCCCAGCAAGAGAATGACCAGCTGAAGCAGCAGCTGAACTCGCCGAGTGCTTGGTACAAGTGCCCCGTGCTGCTGGTCGAGTGAAAACTCATTCTGATTGTCAGCGAATGATTTCCTCCAAGGAAGTCTGAAGAGTGCAGGCAACTGCAGACTACGCAGATTGTTGCTCCGCTCACATCTTAGTGGCCCCCGCAGGCAGCACAGGTGCTTTGACTCGTTTCGTCGCCCGAATCTTCCGTGACAGCATACTGACAGCAATGTAGCATACAGCATATATGATACCGGAGTCGCATTGCGAGCACGACTTCAACTGACGATGCTGCGCAGCTAGTGAAAGCCTCCGCAAAGGACAATCGCGGAATCAGTTGCAGTTTCTGTGCGAATACTGGGCTCTCTGTGGGGTTCTCTGAAGTATGTGAGTCACCCCCAACGGGAAGAGGCAGGGCAGGGCTGGGAGCGTGGATCGGGGTGGAGGTACCTGCAGAGCACAGATCTGACCAGCAAAATCTGCAAAGACAGACCAGCTCAGATTGAGCTTGTTCTATCATTCGCATGGGCGGAACATCGTGATGCTCTTCTAAGGCCTACGGCGAGCAGCCTGTGCTTGGCTCAGCCCGGCATTATTTTATCAATTGACTTTATTGCCGCCGATGCCGAGGGAGGAGCAGCAGGCGACATTGAAGCTGCCTCCTGGCCCTCGGCCTAGAATCGCCGCGTGGTGCGCCGAGAACCCGAGACCTCGCGTTCTTTTTGGCCAAGGGGAGCTGGCCCGGACTCCCTCCGTCAAGGCCAGCACTTTTTCTGAGATCAGCACGACACTAGCGATTCAGGTTGGTAAACTCCTTCGTTGCGTCGGAAGCTCCTGTGAGATGAAGCTTCAGATTCCCTGCCATGCCAGCCGACAAGCTTCCTTGCGGCCGTGAAGTTGGAGAGAGATCCCACGGTGGCCGCGGAGGAGATACTAGCAGACCTCTCTTAGACTTGAATTCCTGAAGCAGTCGTGAAGCAACGATCGTGCCGAACCATGGACCGAGTCGAAGGCAGCAACGAATAGCACCACGCATGAAGAAAGAAGGCTAGTCGGCTGGTGGCTAACGTGGAGTCCGAAAGACTTGCAGACAGATTGGTGATTTGGAAGCATGCAGGGCTCATCATTGAGAGTTGCCTTCGCCATGTACTTTTTGTGTGTCTGCCCACTGATTGGGCGGACTGGTCTGCAGGAGACAGACTACGTCCCCGACAGGCCCGACGGCATGGCATTTCAAGCAACTGCGACCATGCGAGGGAGGCAGTGGGAGGATCCGCAGCTTTGGCATCAAAGTGAAACCGTATCGGAAGTTCGGAGAGTGGGAAGACTGACATCGCCGACAGGGCGGTGTTGCCCGTCATTGGACAGCTTCAAACATATGTGACGTCGTCTATGCCGGAAGTTACAGTCGCTTGAGAAATTGACGTAGACACTGCTGTGTCCCTCCTGCAAGCTCAGGCAGAAGTGGACACTCAGCATCGACGAGTGGGACCGAGTGCTTACTTTCTGCCAAGAGCAGGAAGCGCAGCTTGAATGATACATGAATGTCTAGCGGGGGTTATTGCTCCTGGTGCCTGATCATGCCGTGGGAACCACGCTTGCAAGTGAGTCCCCGGCCATCGCATGTCCAACCGTTGAGCCCCTGCAATTGAGGTATCAGGTTTTCAAGAGCCACGGCAAGAAGTACGTGAACATGCCACTCAACTAGCTGCCGGTGGCAGCTGGAATGGTCGTAGCGGAAAGCGGAAAGCACGCCGACTGAGGTATGACCTGAACCAGGAGTATGTGAAACCATGGACGCGAGGCGGGGATGCACGTGCGAGATTGGATGTTGGCTTCAACGGACCTTGCCAGGCGAGGGCTGCGGCGTTGCAGTCATGATGAGCCAGCACCGTGAGGCCCAGCCTCAACGAGTTTCGGAGACCCACCCAATCATGGCTCTCGCTTCTTGAACGGCCAGGATTCTGCGCAACTCATGTTGTCACACGCTTGGGCGGAAGATGTCGAGGACAACTCGTGCTGGCAAATCAGTGTTGCGAGTGGTTGTGGCTTTCCTTCGTTGCGTGCCAGGAGTGCCAATCCGCGGTCATGGAGCATGTCCGTGAAGCCCAACTGCCTAGATGCCTGGTGGAACACAGTGCTGTAAGCATGGGCATGTGCAGAGACGGAACATTGCAAAGCCCGGTTACGTGCACCTGTGTGCGTATCGAGGCAAGGTGCTTAGTTTGGGTAGCTAGTAGCTAGTGCTGGTGGCGGCACTCTCGCTGGTAGTGATGTTGTGGACGAACCACATGATCATGGTCAACGCACATCCTCTACATGGCGATTCAGATGATGGTGTCGATCATGTTGGTGATGATGGTGACGGTAGTGACCAGCGTCATGATCCAGCCATGACATCTGAAGTCCTGTGGATGCCAGAAGCGGACCATTCCGGGCTTTGCGATTCAAACGAGTAGAGCAGCTTAGTTTGTCAGTTTCGCCCTCTAAGGAGACGCGGCGGTGTGGTTTTGCTTATTCGCCAACTACCAGGCAAGAACCACGTCCTTTCAGAGCCGGCCCCTGCGCTTCCGCCCTGTTAGGTCGGTGATGACAGCGGCCCCAGCATTGAAGCTCAGCTGGACTCTCAGTACTACTCGGCCTAAGGCTGCTCTGCTAGTTTGTATAACAAGATCCTATCTGGACTCGAGGCTCAGCTTGAAGCCCTTTGCCAGTGTCATCTCGGCTGCTAGCCTGAGACGAGGGACAGGCGAATGCAGCTTCGCTCATTTCGCTGAAACCCATCTGCGACGTGACTTCGCCTTTGTAGGCTATGGCCTGCACGCAATACATACCTCGACAGCTGCCGCTCGGCAACAGATGTTTGCTTCGCTGTATAGCGGTAACAGATGACGATATAGTTGAAATTCGATTGACCTGAGGATCTCTATCAGCGGCTGTGGTGTGTACATGAAGTCGAGCGTGCATTGAAGGCGTGATCTTGACCTCAATTTGCGTGGCTCTTCGCAACATGTTGAGCGCAGGGTGACATAGATGTGAGCACGAGCATGTCGGACAAGTACAAGGACGTTCAACCTGCCACTATTTCTCATTTTTGCCTTCTGCTGCTTTTTCATCTTCCGTGCATGTTGCTCGATTGTAACGCTGCTGCGTGCTTCCCACAAGGAGCAGACTTTACAGAGACTGCAGTTTTTTCTGCATCTTGGCCGCAAGCGGAGCCGTTTCGAAAGGACGCCCACGTAATGCCTAGTCCTGCTGGTGCAAGGAGCGAGTCCTGCGGCACAAGTACTTGGGAAGACTGCATGTGGGCGGCGAACGTCAAGGTGAAGACGATCCAAGCTAGGCTCCTGGCAACGGAGCGCCGTTTCGAATTTTCCACTCCTGGTAGAGGATTGAGCCAGGTGTGACCGGATGGAAGATGAGCAGATGCTCATTGCAGAGATCATGGCCACCGGTGGTTAGAAGCTCTGAGTTCTCGAAGCTCCTGCTCTAAGCCAGACTCCAAAGCTCACTGAGGCTTCGAGCGCATCGATGCCACTATCGAGAGGTTTAGAGCAGAAACCTTTGGCCAGAACTACGACGCTTATTTTCAAGTTTGCTGCTTTCCATCCCACTTCGGCCTTTTCGCCTTGTGCCGTTGTACTCTCTACGGCTCAGGAACTAATGCTGAAGGCCGTGGGTCGGCATGGCCAGGCGAAGCCTGGCAGCTTTGGAGCATGGACTGCCTCCCTTTGAAAAGGGGCTCGTTTGGCCCCTTGTGCGACACGTCTGAGGCTCAAGTTCGCCAGCTTCGAGCGTCTGGAAAGAAAGCTGATTCACAACTTAGTCCTCACAGCCGTGCGCTCCTCAGATTTCACGAGACGTCGGCCCGGCATCTTCGCGCTCCGACTCCGAGGTCCGAAGCTCTGGAGCCTCTTTAGCCCATGCCCCTGTGGACCTCAAGGCGGACAAGGATCTGGTCATCGAGGACCCGCTTGTACGACACAACGACATTGCCGCTTTCTGTGCTTGCGGTCCGAGAGGCCGTGAGGCAGAACGGCATGGCCTTGCAGTACGCTGCAGAGGCACTGAGTCTCCGCTCGGGAAACACAGCGTTCCACCGTCCCTTCTTGTATGTGAAAAGCCAGACAGGAGATGCGCGTGGACCGTGAAGTCGTGCTGAACGCGGTGCAATCGGACGGCTTGGCGCTCCAATTTGCCTCAGCCCCTCTGACCAGACTTTCAGAACATGGCGAAGGTAAGGCTCGGCCTCACCCAAAAACATTTTCGGAGCCAGAAAAAGAGTTTAAAGAGGGAAGTGAAGAGGGTTCAGAGAGAGGACCCACTTAGATGGACGGAGCTAAGGGCCCGGCCTTGATGGATCACGCCGTGGTGCTGGCGGCTGTGGCCCAAGATGGCGAAGCCTTTCGTCTCGCACCCGAGCCTTGCCCGGCACGGTGCTCTGCTGCGCTTGGGCACGATTGGGCGCACCTCTGAGTACGAATCCGAGGACAGCATGAAGAAGAACCGCGAGATCATGGAGAAGGCTGTGTCTACCAGTCCCAAGGCGAGACTTTTGTTTTCCTCCGGACCCTGCCTCGGCCTTTTTTGCCCCTTGCATCCCTTCAGCGGAGGCATTGGCCTATGTTCCGTCGGAGCTGCAGAAGGACGCCCTGGAAGTGGTCAAAAGCTCACCGGAGGTTACAGCGGGCCCGGATGCCACACGTGAACTGGTGAAATGCTTCGTGTGGAAGGCTGTTCTTCAGCTGGAGAGGTCAATGACAATGGCTGGCATAGCAGCTCCGTTGCAGACGTTTGCTGTAGCCTGCGACAGTCTGACGCAATTGCCGGATGCAGTTCAATGTTTACCGTTCGTAGTGCAAAGTCATTCCGAGGTCAATCAAGCTGCAGCTCTGCTGCAAAAAGTGCGAGTCGATCTCTTTACTGAAAAGTCAGATGAGTAGCTTTTTGAGACTCGACTTTCGCATGAGCGCAGAATGCGCCACTCAGGAGCAAGAAGTCGAGAGAATGGAAGAAATGGCGGTGACTCGCAGGCGTCTGTGCCAATGTCGCCAATGCTCATCTCACAAAGTCACAAAGCCCTGAAGCTTCACTATGTAGCATTTCATTTGCGCCTTGCTTCCAGCCAGCACCACATACATCTATGTGAAGCGAGACCTTGCCTTACCAGCTTACCCGCTGCAGCAGGCACGCGAAGGAGTCTGAGAAGGAGCAAGAGAGATTGCAGAAATGGCTTGACCTCATGCCGCTGAGCTTATGCTTTAGCGTTGTCGATCGAAGGCGCCCACACACAGCGGAAAATGCAAGCATGCACACACCCACATGTCACAAACATGTGTATCCATCATATGCCGATTCAGTACTTCTCGCGAGCCTGATGTGCTCATCTAAGCGTGAACTGAATCAAACGGTGCGTTCGCACGGTAGGAACTGGAGTCAACATGCATCGCAATTCCTCGCGCTGCAGACAGCCCTCTCAACCAAGGAAGAGTGTTCGACCTCAAGTAAGAACAGAGAAGCCGAAACGTGCACTGCGGCTAATGCTGCTGGGTTTGGACAGCCTGTTCCAGAACACGCAGGACTCGGCAGTCGTTTATTCAGCTCCTGTCCGAGTTGGAAAAGGGCAGGCGTTGGGTGCACAGGAGAAACTAGTTAAGAGCAGGTGGATTGTGCAGGGTCGTGTTGTGAAGGAGGGTCGGAGCCGTCCTTCGTACTAGCACCGATCTAGTCGAATCTGCAGAGCAAGAGGGGGACAGAGAGACAAGAGACTGAACATAATTGCAGAGTGTTGAAGGCCAAGGAGGATGCTGTTCAAATGAGTCAGCAAGCTCGCAGCAGGATCCATCCGTGATTTCGCGGGCTCGCCAGGCCTGTAAGCATGAGGTTGTCCAAATTCCTCTAGGGTGTTGCGGATCCCAAGTGAGTAGCTACCGTGCTGCTTGAAGGCTATCGAAAAGCAATTCGATACCACCACCGACGAGGACAAGATGGATTATGTGGATGTCCTCCTTGACAACAGCATTGTGACTCGTCCATTCCACGAGTTTCACTGTACCGGGCATCGTTTCGAAATCGTCGGCTGTGCCCTTCGACTTCGACCATGAAAAAACTCCAAGATAGCCACTTCAGCATTAGGCCATGCACGCCACGCTGAAGAACTCTCTCTTCAAGTGCCTTGTCGAGTACAAGTTGAAGCTTGCCGACAAGGCTCCGCTGCAAGTACCTTTTGCCATGAACAGTGAGTAGGTAGGTGAGATGCTACAGCACCCGGCAGCATGGTGCAGGCTGGTGCTACTCTAGATCCCAAAACGCCACTTTTGCTGCACCCGTCTGTGCTGCGTGGCTTCGAGCACAAAGTTGTCCTGAATCCCAGGTCTTCCAGTCCCGTGAGGAGGTCTCTAGCCTGCAAAAGCAAAAAGCAAGAATCATGCTACCAGAGCGATGCCGTGGCAGTCGAAGCCTCGAGGTCGAAATGTGCCCTTAGCCCTCAGGTACAGCATGCACGTGCCGAAGTTGGAGCCCACACCTTCCATGGAGTCTGAGCGCTCTGAACGCCACAGCGGCCGGGCAGTCACCGCGGCGACGAAGATTCAAGTCGATCAGCTGGCCGTGGCCCCTTGAGCTCCAGGGGGCACGCAGATGTCAAGAGTGGCCCTGAGTGCGAAGCAGAGGCTGGCTCTTCAAAGCTAATGACTGACACCCCGCAGCTCAGCATTACCCCAAGTCAAGACACGATCTCGGAAGAGTGGCCTTTGTCCTTAAGACGGCAAGCTGGGTGTCCTGTAGCGATTCGTAGAATCTTTTCAGCATGATGCTGTATTTTGGTTTTAACCATCAGACTGTGGCTCTGGCGACAGTGCTTGACATCCAGGGTTTTTCATGACGCTGCTTTGGTCATCTCTTTGCTGGTACACTGTCCCACATGCTTCAGCTGGCAAGATACGGAACAGTTCTGTGACAGAACTCCCGTGGAATTGCAATGGCTCAGAGCCTTCTCATCAACATGGTGAGTGACGGGCGGGTGTCAGAAATCTGACATGCCATTGAGGTGACAAAGCTTGCGCGAGTGTCTGAGCATGCCGTACCTAATGAAGCGTAAGTTACACCGAAGCGAAGCAGCAAGGTGCTTGGCAATGTTGTCCGGGTGGGCGGGGTAGAGAGCTGTGCATGGTTTGAAGAAGGAAAGCGCGGCCAACGGACGACCTCCTGAAGTCCAAGCCAACATGAGCAGCGTGCAGGCTCTCCGAAGAGATCTTGGCACAAACACTATCAGGGCCTTTTCCCAATTGCAGCTTGTCGTGGAAGGCTTCGACGTGACTCCGCTGGCCTTCCGCTCCTAGCTTGCGCGCCGATTCTCTTGTGCCGCCAAAAGCTCGTGATCGGCGAAAATATCTGTGTTGTTGGAATTTGCCGCCGAACGTAAGTTGCGACTACCGCCTAACAGGTTTGATTAGGCCCTGGTGCGTGAACTCCAGCAAACGATATCAACCTGCATCTGGCAATTCCAGGCAACTCTATCGATCGGCGAGACGGAGAGGGCTTGACCCCCCTTGATTTCCCAGCCTGCCCTGACAGGAGATTCATTGGATGCGCTGTTCTATTGTTGGTTTCCACAGCGTGTCAGCAGGATCCTGTTCTGCCGATGTGCAGTTCCCACAGATGCCGATGTGCAAATGAAGTCAACTCGCGCATCCAATGGGGGAACTTGGATCAGGGCTTGCCGCGCTTTACAAGCCGTTTTTGAAATCGTAGCGAATACAGTGTCAGCTACTGCTGTATGGCCCATTGTTTATCCATCGCAGACTGTCACATCGCAGTGTAAAAATTGAAGGTGAGAAGCTAATTAGGAGCATCTTGGCGGCCGCGTGGTTCAAGCGATCACGACAACGACATGATTCATGCGAATTTCAATGCGAATCGCCGTCACTGCGTCAACACTAAGTTTGCAACAAGGCAGGGCAGTTTCCAACCGACGAGCATGTCAAGCATGTGCACTCTCATCTTTTTTGCGCAGGGACGTGTTCAGACAAAAGCCCGGCCTTTATCGGCCATGCTGCTAAATTTGTTAAAACTGACTAAGCATGCTAAGCAGTGATGCCGACCGCTCTTATTGCGACATGCTATATAAAGGTGGGCTTCTAGATCTTTCGTTCGTGCTCTCCACCATGGCATCCGGCAAGGCTTGAGCGGCCAAGTCCTGCCTTGTGTGTGAAGCACGCGGGTCGTAGGTCTGAT